GCGGTGAGACCGCGTAGGCTGCAGCCCCTGCTGCAGTGGGTTGCCATGGGCTACCGTGTGTAGCCAGCAGCCAGCGTGAGCAGCCAGCAGCCACTGTGAGCGGCCATCCAGAAGTCAACAACTGATCTGCCTCACCCGGGAAGAGCGCAATGATGGTGCCAGCTTGGGCCAGTGAAGCAACATCCTCCACAACTAGACAGAAGAACAAAAGGACAGCAACTTGTCTGTTCCCCTTCCCCCAATTCCCCAGCGCTGTTCCCATCCCCCAATTCTCCAATAAAAAAATCTTTAAAAAAAAAACAAAAAAAGAAATTAGGCTGACAGAGCACCACTTTCTCAAGCAATTTGAGGACAAGAAAAAGCAACCTAATTGCTGCGTGTGCATCATTATGCCCTCACAATGTGCAAAAAAGGGGAAAGGTGTTTGTAAACAAAAACAAACCATGTATTATTGTGCTATGTTTCCTGGAAATCCAGCAATGTGTGTTGTTCCTTGTTTTGAGAATTATCACTCAAGTAAAATAAAAGAATCATGTCAGAGCGCCCGGTTGGCTCAGGTGGTTAGAGTGCAGGTCCATAACACCAACGTGGTCAGTTCGATTCCCACGTAGGCCAGTGAGACGCACCCTCCACAACTAAATTGAAAACAACGACTTCCACAACTAGATTGAAAATAATTACTTGACTTGGAGTTGATGGGTGCTAGAAAAACACACTGTTCCCCAATACAATTTTAAAAAACAAAATTAAAAAAAATTTTTTTAATTAGAAAAAGAATCCTGTCAGTGTTACAGAAAGGAAGTTTAGGAAAGTGGATGTGCGTTTTCTATATTGTTGTGTTTTTCAACAACAAATAACAATAGGAAATTTTTATACATAAAAATAATGTCATTTATATACAAAGCAGCTCAAATTGTTATTATTAAATGCATGAAATGGTCAAAATATTAACTTTTTGTTTTTTGTGGATTTCTGACACATTAAAAAAAACTTGAAATCAATTAACACAGTGAAAGAGTTAAGAAAGAAAATAAAATAGCAAACACTTAAGATAAGTGGAAAATACAAAATAAGAGGATGGCGATAAACCCAAATATATACATTAGTGTAAATGGACTGAATGCTCTACTTAAAAGAAAAAAATTATCAAACTGGAAAAGAAATAAAGAAAAGGAGGGAGGGAAGGAGGGAAGATAGGAAGGAAGGGAGGAAAGAAGGAGTCTAACCATATTCTGTCAACAACAAACAGATATGAATTTTAAAAATAAAATCTCAAGTACACAAGAAGGTTGAAAGTAAAAGCATGGAAAGTAAAAGCATACTGTATTCAGGGTCCCCAAGACTACTCCCTCAAGTTCAATAATTCACTTTTCTGAGACCCACAGGACTCAGAAAAGCTGTTATTCTCATAATTTATTACACAGGAAGGATACAGATTAAAATCAGCATACAGATACAGATTAAAAATGTCAAATGGGGTAAAGCCCCAAAGCAACCAGGCACAAGCATCCAGGTGTCTCTTCATAATGAAGTCATATAGGGTCATGCTCAATTCTCTTAGCAACAATATTGACAATATATGCCAAGTATTGCCAACTAAGGAAGCTCACCCAAGCCTTGGTGTCTGGCCAGAGTTTGCACTGGGGGTCAGTTATGACGCACTTATGTGACTGATTTTATTTTAT